CCCCCCCCCCCACCCATTCCAAAACAATAATGGTCCTTCCCCTATCTTCCACGGCTTATTATGCAGAAGCATAATGAAGTGCTGTGAGCAACATTTCTTATATTTCTTATGAGTTACCTCAAAAAAATTAATTCCAAGAAGAACACACAAAGCTCGAGAACTACAAATTGTAAATAGACTGGTGGAAATACCATGTAAAAATAAAATTATTGTATCATGTCATAACTGTCATGTTTTCCTAAACAAGAGAGAAATTATAAGGAACCCAGGTACATTTAGACACTTAAGCTGACTACAAGGAAAAAATTCAACTTTTGTCATGAATTTTCATTCCAAAGCTCTTTTACCACAGGAGATAAATCACTTGCCCTCTCTTTTTGCTGTTCTAGTGACAAATACTTAAAACCTTTTATTTTGCCCAAACACTTTTCTGCAGCACAGTTGCACTTAAAATGTTCAGCCATGTCATATTCTGTAGTATTGTAATCATAGGTGACGTCTTCTCCTTTCTTGATGTCACGAGTGGCCACCACATACCAGAAGACCTTGTGGTCCGCATTTAGGGATGGATACGAAATTTTGCGGCTTTCGTAGATGAACTTTGCATTAGGTTTACAGGAATGATTGAAACACAGCATTACCCCTTCAGGACAAACATGCTTGTTTTTCTCAACGTGCACTGTATGAGCGTTCGGCAAATCTAACACTGGACCCCAAAGATCTGTCAGGAATGAACCTGATTTTACATCTTCTACTGCCTGACAGGACAGGAAACCATCAGTGACTTCAATGACTGCTAACTTACTTGAATGCATCTTCTGCTAGGGATTAGAAAGAAGGAAACATAATTAGTCTTCATCAAGGTAGCCTAGTGGGTCAATAACAAAAATGTTTCAGATTACTGTCCCCAGTCGAGGAACTTTCATCTGACTCCCCTTCTCCACCCCCATCACCCTGCCTCTCCCCAACTAGCCTATGAGCAGACTCTTCACATGGCAAGAAAGAAGGACAGGAAAGGGCTTCTTCCCCTTTTTCTTTCCTGTTTTCTTTCCAAGCAAAGAGCCTGCTTGCAGGCTACCCCCCCCCCCCCCCCCCCCCCCCCCNCCCTCCCCAACCCCCCTAGAAATTTCAGTTAGTTTCATACTTTCTTATAAAAACTTAAAAATGATCATGAGTTAAAGGATCATTTTTTTCATATTCTCATACTTTCCAAGTTCATAGGTTAAGCTTCACAGGTTTTTCAGCATAGTTATTTAAACTTCTTGAGAAAACAATTCCTATCTCTGTTTAGACAGGCTATTATTGGCAAAGCGATTCCAAAAATTCTTTTTGAGTTTTTTGTTTTGAATTTTCCAAGGTTGAACAAACCATAAATTAAACTGCTATGTCCTTGACACTAAGCAAATTTCAATGTGTAAGTGTATAGTCAACTGGATTCACAAACGGGCAAGGTGACAAATAAACTAAATGTTCAGCAGTCAGAAATTACTTTCACAGAAATTATTCCATGGAAAACTGTCAGTAATATTCTGATATTCTTGTTTTCGAAAATTATATGCCATGCATTTTGACAAGTAATAAAATAGTTTTGGCTTAAGATTGGGTAGCAATTCCCATACAAATGGTCATACTAAATACTCAACAGCCAGTCATCTGTAGTCTTGTGTAACTGCCACTCACAATGTGCATTTGGGCTGCTTTCTGTGCTAATAAGCTCAGGAATTTTGTCAAGCTCAAAGTTAAATTTTTCAACTGCTAGGCATTTAGACTACATAATTTGTATACAAATATAAAATACTCTCAAGAGGTTTAAATATGACTCTCCTGATAAAAATCTGTGATAATTTCTGACTGCCAGCATGGGTAATGGCACTGAGTACATTAGCTAAAAGTCTTGGGGGAGAGGGGGTGCTTCTATAAAATTTGGATAGATGTGTGCTGTGAAGGGTCTTATACCCTGGCCCTATTTAAGGTGATGGACATGAAATATGACACCCTATTAAAGACCAAAGCCCCAAAAATGACACCCTATTGAAGGGAAAAACAAAAACTCAAAAACTCAACTCTATCCTGTGACACATACCTATATATCCCATATGGGAGTACCCCCTGCCTTGGGCTAAAAGTTCACTGACTATGGTATTGATGAGGTAGATTTCTGATAAATTTTGAGGTCTAAATAACTCTCCTTTGTATACCCCAGTTTTAGAGACACCCAGAGACTTCCACATGACCTAATAAAAACTAATTTAAATACATGAAGTCACATTAAATAAGCTCAATTAAATGCATGCATTGACATATAATAAGCTCAATTTTAAATATAATCTCATTTAAATACATGAAATCACATATAATAAGCTCACTTTAGTGAATGAAATCACATATAATAAGCTCATTTAAATGCATGCATGGACATATAAGAAGCTTTTTTTCATGGGCAACCTTCAGGCCAGAAAGTCTATACAGGAAGTTGCATTTGGTAGATGTCAATCATCTAAACCTCCTCTTCACTGCATGAAATGTTAGCTGTCTTATGGTTTGAGTAACACATTTTAAAAAGGTTTGTAAGCTTATTTAAGCCTAGTTCAGTCGATAACCGTCAGTAGACCAAGTAAAACTCATGTAAAAAATACTTTGTGGATTGGCTGGAAAATATAAGCTTGCAAGCTAACGATTTCAGATTTTTTGTGACTTCATAAGAAAATACAGTAGGTCACGCCGGCAACACGTGCCCGGTTCTGTCCTAGTGTACGGGTTCACAAGAACCGATACAAAAGACCCAATAATGTTCAACAGCTAAAGAAAGGTTCGTAAAGAAAGGAGTACAATGGTTATTCCCTCTGTGTACCGGTACACCAGGACATAACCACGTGCCCAAATAAATATTTAGAACAAAATTGTCGTTTAATACAATAAGAACAAGATTTAGAAGCATTGTCTGTTTCTCACTCGCCGATTGTTCCATTCGATTGTTCTTTAATATCGGGTCACCTCGGCAGTATTCCAACACCAGACGTTTTATATATTCTGGAGTTTAGAGTGTCTGCATGGAGTAACTTTTTGCGTACACTGCCACAACTGGGCGTAGCTTTCGGCAAAGAGACGAGGGTGATGATTGACGTGGACCAAGAGTTATAAGCTTTTGTCTAAGACTTTTCGCCCTGAAGGTCACGCGCGATTAATCACCGCTGTTATATAATTATGTTCACCTTCAGGTCAGAATAATTTTGCTTACGCGTGTACCTTTACCTTAACGCTTCACACACTTTATTTCAACATAAGTTAGAAAATAAATACGACTGTAAACTAATCCGCTGGTAGCGTTCGGCTAAGCTAGGCAGATCAGTTCTGTGATCAGTTCTGAATTCTGTGATTAATTAAGTTCATTTATTCAATGAAGTTCTTTCAACCGATTCACCTTTGTCGTGCGTGTTTCCCGGCGTTTTTAGAGTTTTCTACTCATTTTTCTTTGCACTCACCTTATTTTCCCTTGCACTCAGTGTTTCAGCGGTTAAAGTAATAAAGTTTCTTTGGCAGCGTTTCTTGAGTGCACTTTACAACCTTTGGACTGTCGACCGACGCAATCTCTCGGTGGATCGAGATTACATACAGCTAGCTATCAATCGTCGCCATCTTGATTAGGATGACCACGGAGACCTGGGGAGAGTAAAAATACCTCTCGGGCTGGACTAAAAGAATCGGATTTGGAACGATCTCAGAATCATAATGTCCTTTTTGTTGATGGTGTAACTCTTCCAAATGAGTCTTACTTATTGAAAAAGGGCAAAAACAAAATTACATTACCGAATATATTGGGAGCTAGGGCTTCTTATCATAATTAGGTATGACAAGCCGGTACCACTAGGTTTTCCATTCTGACGTCTCAACCAAACTTTTCATGGGCAAATAAATAAATTTAAAAAAAGAATAAATACGTTAAATAAACTGCGAGCTCAGTTAACTGCAATGCCACCATCATGTCAAAGCCGACGCATTATCCCTCCAATACTCGTGGTATTGAAATAAATCTTCCTTGGGAAATTTTGGTACTGGAACGGAGGGTAATAAGATCAATTAGGGCTTGCCCTCTTCCCCCTCCCGCAATCCGGGAGTGTTTGTTATGGGAAAACGTTGTTTTTGCTGACCTCCAGTTGAAATTGCAATGTTTTCCTCTCTGTAAAATATTAATGAGACACTGCCAATAAATGACATATAAAGACGAAAACTTAACGAAGTAAAACGCGCTGGAATCGTCTCAAGTCGTTTTTATTGTATTTCTTTCCCGTATTTCTAGATGCTAAATACGTTCGTTACACTCACATACAAGCTCTTAAATGATCTTACGCGTTTCACAATATCATACAACGGCGTCCATGCGAGGAACTTAGAATTCCCGTGAATGAGGCTGGGAAAACTATATTCACTTAAAAAAAGAAACAACGTCTCTAAAATAAATAGACTTGTTGTATCTTTGGCGCAGGGGTGTCATATCGACACAACAGTTCATGACAGTTGGTTGATTTAAATTACAAATTACAAAGCGTTTTTCTCCTAACGGTATTATTCAGAGTAGCAAAGGGAGTTGAAAGGCAATGGAATCTTACAGAAACCTAGCAAGAAACTTTGCCACTCAGAACTGTGAGGGACGCAACCGTTCTTGAAATCCTCATGTAGTGAAGTTTTGTCATTCCCCGTGAAAACTTACAACGAAATATATTTTTTTAGTATCTACCTCTCTGCTTGCATTGCAGGCCTATGATACCGAATTTTGTGTGCAATCATAGACCAGAAACAGGTAAAGATTTCCCAGAACGGCTATATACCTCATGCTGATCATTTCTTTTTTTTAAGCACAGTAAAGTAAACAGTTTATATTATGTTTTAAAGTATTTGTGAAGCTTTCAGTCAAATATTGTTCAGAGTTTGTTTCTCAATAGGCCTCACGTTACTCAAGCGAACTTGCTGGGTTTGTTCGATCTTAAATTCCACATCACGTGACTTGTGTAAGTCGGCCTTGTTTCCAAATGCGCATGCCTTAAAAGCAGAGAACGCTGCCCGCCTCAGTGACTGCCTGTAACCCGCGTCAAACAAAGGAAACAGCGGAGCGATCGAAGATTGAATGAAAACCAGCCACTGAGAGTAGACAGGAAATTCTTGTGGGAAGGGAGCTGCGGAGAGCTGTAGCACAGCTATGGTATAAAGAGGAAGCCAACAAATTGCGGTCACGCAACATCTCAGCAACAACAAACGTGAAAGGGAGCGCTGCTGTTGGAACTGACTCAACTGGGGCAGTGCTCGCATGCTCTGGAAATGATTCTTCCTGGCTGAAAGGACTGGGTATTTATGCGGGATCCTCGAGGAAATTACAAACGGGTCACGCAGGATAGCGGAATGAGCGCTTGACTGAGAACTTCTGTGGGAACCTCTCAGTCCCGAGGTTGCAGGGGAAACAGACGCCCCCGTCTTTAGGCTGGTTATATCCTCTCCTGGGTTTCTGTCACTTGCGTTTGCTGAATTAGAAAAGCCTTGAATGTTTCGCTGTTGGATATTACTGAGAAGAATTTCCAGTATACTGTTATCAAGCTCACGAACCTGCTTAGAAGATTTCCTGGACAGCACTGGACTGCTACCGAGGGACAAAACATCAGGGCGTCTGTGAGCGGACACGCTTGATCTGGCGGACTGTTGCTTGGGTTGAAAACAGCTCATTCTTGACTCATAAACAGACGTGTTGTTAGACGAACCGACTGTTGTTACTTCCGGGTCGTTGATCTTCATTTCCGATTCATGTCGTTTCCAGAAGAACTGCACTGAGTAAACGGGGGAGAAGTTTTTCGCCCTTAGAGCGAGTAAGGCGGTGATTAACAGAACAACAAAGGAGAACACAAGATAAAAGAGAGAATAATTAGAGATCGAGTGAAAACGGTTTGCAAACAAACAAGAATGTAAGAAAGGAAGGCCTTGGTAAGAACTCCATCCGAAGAGAGGAATAACGCCCCACAGCAACCCAGTTAACAAACACACGACAACAAAAGCAAATTCCCTTCTTATAAAACGACGTTTTCCATCACGATGAGCGTTATAATGCACTTTTTGACAAAACAATGCAAGAAAGAAGAGAACCAAAAAGCAACTGATTTGCACACAGGAGCATAGAAAGCTAAGGGCCTGGAAGAGTGACTGGTTATGTTCTAAGCAGGCTGGGCCTGTAGTGAGAGTGACAAGCATGAGCCCAGGACCAAGCAGCGTAGCTGTGATGTCGAGCGCTGTCAAAACTTTTGTTTGAGGACAGCTGAGAGTTGTGCTATATGAAAGAAAGGGAATCATAAGGTTTCCACACACACCTAACACAAAGAGCACAACGGCGAGCAGAAGCTGGAGAGTACTGGAAACCACAAACATCATTGCAGTTGGTCAAACAGGTCACGTGACAAAAACCGGTATCCAAATTCTGGATTCTAGAAATACAAAGGTGACAGTTAGAAACAATGGAAAACCATCTTTCGCTGGTTTAATTCAATACGAAACAAACAACATTTTCCGTCTTTCTATCGAGTTTTAGTATAAATGMACTAGCATTCTATCGCGAATGCTGCCCGYGGCCMSKGGCCTCGGGCAGCATTTTCAAGCCCGACGTCACAGRTTTTCACTATACGGACCGACCCTAAGCCGGACAATAACATGTTTATCTTTTTTTCTTGCGGTAAATTGGCTTACAAGTGGGTTTGTTTTCGCAGCTTTGTCATTGAATTGGCTTACGCGCCGTCTGAAGACTCTGCAAACCTTTCGTAAAAAATCTAATGAGCGAACGGGCGAGTAACTCAGATACTAGACAAAGAAAGATGTATTAAAGAACAGATTTATATCGAACTATTTTATGTTAGTCGCATTTAGTTCACCATTTAAGTTCTCCAAGTGCTTTTCCGGTGTGAAATTTCGTGCAAAGTTTGAAGGTGTACCACAAAAACAATTTCTGTCAGTCGTTGCGAATCACTCGAAATCAGACTTTTCTACCGTAAATTGAGTAGCAGATAGCGAGGAAATTCGTGAAGTGTATTTCACAGAAATTCTCTCAAATCCGGCAACGATCGGTAGGTAAACTCAACTGAAACTGACTTAAAATTGTACAGAGAGAGACACGCAGGATTACGCGCCATTACAGCGTCGAGCTACAAACAGCCAAACAAACTCTCACAACGTCAAAAAACTCAATTGAATTTACTTACAGCGACTTAAAATGGGCGAAAGATTGACGATTACCGCTAATTCGTTCACGAAAATAGATCAACTCGACGGATTCCGCCCGCTGTGGCGGTCCGGATGAGAAAATTCCGCTCGCTCCAGGAACCAATCAGATTGCAGGATTTGTTGAATTCCGCCCGCTCACGAGCCGAGAAAAAGATTGTGTTATTGTTCACCACTAAATTTTCTTCGGCGCGCAGTTTTAAAATCATATTAAATTATTTTAAACTTTTTTTGAGATGAAAGCCGTAAAAGCCAAATGTAGAATTTGAAAAAGGAAAACGGAAAAAACCCACTTATTACAATTTACTATGAGGCTGTAGCTGTATCGCTATGGGCTGTATCTTCGCGGATGAACACTATTGCGTCACGTGATCAAATTAAACCAATAAAAACCGGAGAAAATTTAGTGGTGAACTATCACGCAGAAAAAAATCGAGAGCGAATAATCCAATTGTTGAGAACGTCAAATTTCCGCCGGGCAACTATCAGCCGATAGGTCCTCGACAGAAACACTCTATTGTTCAAATAGAAATCTGGCTCATAATCTAATTGTTAAATAGACAGTTTGGGAAAACTCGGAAAAGCTAACGGCTCGTGTTACTGCGGCTGCCTCGTCCGTCGCTTCACCGTGAAAAGAGCTACTGAGTGGTTCATGCTGTGTAAGTTCACTTTTTGATACTTATAACGGCCTTTTTGCCGATTAAGTTAAGTCCCCACCCAAGTGGAAAAGGCTGAGCGAAAGAAATTATGACTAGCTATCATTAGTGTAACTGCCAGCACTAGAAATTTTCAAGTAGACGAGAAAAGGCGATCAGAGCGTATACGAATTCAAGACAAGAGAACAGAGAACCCTACAGAATTGAAAATATGTATTGGAGCATGCAATACTGAAAGTCAAACGAAGTAAATGTACGTAGAAATAATGAAATGCGGTTCAAATGTAAATATGAGATGTTCTAATTCGCAGTGTGTATGAAAGTAAGCAATTACCGAAACTATAAAATGGAAAGTGATTTTGTAACAGCACCTACCTTTAAATCTGCGCTGAATTCTGAGTCGTGGTTTTTGGGGAAAATAGAGTGATTTGATCGCTTTCTGCTTCTTTAAAAAGTGTAAAATAGATGTTTGTTTCAGAGAGAAACTATTCGATTCTGCTTTTTCTGAACTGATTTTGTCTTGTAGTGATCTGGGGTACGCTCAGTGGAAAATGAATGAGATGAAAGCAACGGCTACAAGAAAAACACGCCTTGTGACGAACAATTTGATGTCTTAATTGGATGCTAATTAAAGAACACGCCTTCTGCCAATTATCAGCTCTTTGTTGTCATGGCAAATTAGTTGAAATCAATATCTAAACAATAAATGGTGCCCATAATTAATACCATAATGATTAGTTGTGTTAATTAAGTAATGTCGTTGATTGCGCTAATAGATAAGGATTAATTAGTCACAGGCCAAAGTACAAATTACAGGACAAATTACTTTATGGAGTCACTGGGAAGAATTTTTTTAATTTTCTGCTACTTTCGGACAAGGCCAAATTATTCGACCCTGAACAAAGACGGCAAC